AGTCTTTAGCGCACTACCAGATAAGGTTCCTGTAACTTATGAATCTGCCTTCTTAAAAGTTCTGAAAAATGTAAACAAGATATAGGTCTTTTCACCTAGTAGCAAAATGAAATACATAATACAATTTTTCAATATCACACCATTAGGAAAATAATTTAATTTGAGGAAATTTATTTCAATTTATTTAATTGAAAGTAAAAAGGTTTTACTATAAAAACTACTTTATTATTGCTAGCCACAAGGAGTAGTTGATTTTAGCAATTGATAAATAATTACACTTACAGACCCTATTCCCCCGATTTCATTATAGCAATTTACAATATTACTTAGTTCTGTTGCTTACCTAACTTCATAAAATGAATATTATAAATCATCTATTATCTATTAACATACTGTAAAAAATACTTTTTCTAAAATCAGTTACAATCAGGTAACACCGTATAAACTTTCTTCTTAATTATCAATTAAGCTATTATAACTTTGAAACAAAAAATTAACCAAGGATTAATCTGAGAAATACAAATTTGACTTTTTCAGAAATTAAAAAGAGCTTTAGTCAATAGAAGTGTACTCTTCCATGTTTATACTGTTTGTATAAAAAGCGAAGTGATATGAGAAACCTTCCAAACCAAGGAAGATCGGAAATTATTAAAACCCGTATTTATTTTTACCTAGTATATTAACTCTTACACAAATTCCCCAATAGAGTGGTTCTACAGGATTTTGTAAATACAATTAACTGAACTTATATATTAGCTAATATTAAGAAGTAAAGAGTTAGGAAAAGAAAAATTTAAAAATTCCCAAAGAATAACTAAAATGTTAGGAGGCTGGCTTGATCCAACAAGTATAATGATTAGACAGAGAAGAAAATTGAGAATGCTGTCAGATTCTTTAATCATAAATGTGTAATTGAAAAGTCTAAAGATTTTAAGAATATTTAGTTGTTCAAAGCATGAGAGGAAAACTAGCATAATTACTATATTAGTGAGCTGATTAAAACACTTGGGATGGAGCTAATAGTGTAGGCCTGTATTTGAGGTAAAAATAAAGGTCTTCAGATACTTGTTTATCCAAAGAGTATGGATAGATATGTATATATTGGAGTTTTGAAAGATATTTTTATTGATACTTGACAGGAGGTGGTTAATACAATAGAAAATTCTATATTTTATTGAAATAGTGCAAAGATAGATACTACAAGAGATACTGTCACTTGGTTTAAAGAAGCCAATATACTACTTAAGCAGTAGTTCCTCAATTTACCTGACTTTTATATAATTGAAAGCTATTGGAAAATGTTTAACAAAAAGCTACATTAGTACTTTCCTGACATCCACAAGACTAAGGTGTAGCCAGATAATATTGGAAGATTTTTAGGAGAAGCTCTTAATGTAGTTTGGACTGAGATATTGAAGAGTCATTCTTAAAAGTCTGTGGAAGTATATGCCTAGACAAGTGGCTGCAGTTTTAAATGTAAAGAAATAGTATACTGAGTATTGATTCTTTTTCTCTGCAATCTAAGATGAAGATTTTTCTATATTTAATGGATACACATACATTTTCAGTTCATTATAATACCAGTTGTGGTTGCATAGGCAATAAATATATGATAGTGGACTTGCCATTGCCGCACCAGATGAAAAGTTTTGTCCCCATACTTTATATAGGATATCTCCATCTCAGTCTAAGTTCGAATACCCCCATGATATGCCAATACCCGTATGTCGAAAGGTTACCGATGGATAATTTACACGACTTGACGTTGCAACCATGCGGCGCTCGGCCAGCCCAACATTAGCAATGTGAGGATAGGGAGGAGCTAGCTGCTGCAGGAAAAGGACGGGCTGCGTCGATTTGGGAACGGAAGAACCTTGCCGCAAACCGAGGTGCTTTTACATGGAGGAAGTGGGGAGCCCTTATAATGTTCAGGCTCCAGGAACTGATTGAGGATAGTGCGGGCCTTTCGGTTACAGATTGGAGGCTGATATAGATAACAACTATCCGTAACCGGGAGGTTTTCGGCGGGAACACATACAATGACTCGCAAATACACTATGAGGTATATGGGTAAAATAAAAGTTGAACACTCCATTGGTAGAATAATAACAGATACAGTGTCCCTCGCCATGACTCATTGTCCTAGGATAAAGTAAACACCGGTGTAGCCATACTGAACGCCAGTGAACATAACCGATATTTCAATTAACGGAGGCATGCTACAGGCATTCACCATCGTGTGTCTCGAGGAGGTCAAGACAAAAGGGAGATAAAAAGCAATACAGGAAAGTCATCTACAATTCCTGCTTCTCAGGATTGAACCCTTGGATTCCTAAAAGCTCTGTCTCGAAAACTATGGTGCCATCCTGTCAGAGCACTTTCAACTGTGCGGGAATCAGAGCATGTACCTAGGTCCGACTTTGCCGGAATAACAGGTGGCATTCCACCAGCGCCGTACGCAAGTGAGAATGGGATAATCAACTTCCGCTTCTCCCCAATACACATGTCCAGCAAGCCCCTCTCCCATCCCTGGATAACTCTGTTTTCGCCGAGAGTGAAAGTGAATGGTTGGCCACGGTCGTAGGAAGCATCGAATTGATCGCCAGTCTCCTTGAGGGTACCTCGGTAGTGAACATTGATAGTGTCACCTTTCTGTATGCCACCCGTTCCAAATGTCAGTCTCGCCATCTGGAAGAGCGCAAATGAGGAAGAGGCCTCCAAACCACGGTCTTTCTCTCGCACTCAATTTGCTTCTGCTTAACAATCTCAACCACATCCTGAGCAAAAGCGGTGGCGACTAGGGCGCAGAGAGCAAAGCCAAAAGGAGAGGCGACACGCATGATCGATTGATTTGAGTCTCTGTTGGAGTTATTTTTCTGGTTCGGCGTAACGTTGGAAACTTTGATTGTATTTTCCTTTGTATTGACACGAGAGCAAGCGCACGGTGGTGAGGGAAAAGGGAAGTAGAAAGATGGGTGTGGTCGGGTTGAAATAGCGATTGACCTCCAAATACAGTGGGGTATGATAGGGATAAGAGGAAAGTTACGGCACAGTCAATTTGGGTTAACTAGAAAAATAACTTGTTGTTATTTTTTATTTTTATTTTTTTTTTGTTAAAACCGCGGTTTATTTATGACATGTATCATAGCCTAGGACATGACCTAAATACCTAATAAGAAAAAATAACAAAAGAAAATCTTCTACTTCTACCTTTTCATAACATTCTAATGTAAGCAAGAGAAGCTTAAGCAGAAACCACATCATACACAATCATGGAAATGAAGTAAGGGTTATTTCGTCCTCCTCACTCATAACTGAATTCCTAGATGCCTCTTTGGAGTAGGTAGGAGAAAGCAAAGAACAGACATTATGGAGGTTGTTATTAGGATTACGTATATGATCTCTCTTATTGTATAATGGTACTTATACAACTGGAGACAACCTTAATTGTCTATAACAGGAGGGTTACCCAAAGTCTTCTCTTAAATCTAATATTTTAGACATTAAGCTGCTGTAATAATATTCGATATCTGCAGGGTATTTTCATATAATAGTATCATACTCTTCAGGAAACTATACCTCATTACTTTCAAGAATCTCAAGTGGCTCCTAAAATCAAATATACTTGATCATGTAACAGAATTATACCAGTAAATTTATCAGGTAGGAGATACCTTATATGGATCAATCTAAGTTTTAATTTATACAATTGAATATTTTAAATATTATAATCCTAATATCAACATAAACTTTATAAAAATACTATTAAAAGGATATTATGAGTATGATTTTAGTAAGAAGATTTATGGTATAAAGGCAGATTGGTAGAACTTCTTGTTCTTAAATCTTGTTAAATAAAGAGAACAGTAGTATCTATATCTACAGGTTTACATCCTACATATAATTCTTATATAACAAAGAAATATAATAGGAAAAAATATAAGTATAATTATGTAAAACAATAATATAGTTAGAAAAAACATAACAACAACCATGTTTGATATGGAGAATCTGCCAAGAAAATTCAAAAAACCTTGGATGAATAAAGAAATTATAAGGGAAATTATAGTTAGGCTGAGGAGATAATCATGGAGGTAAAGTCTAGGAATATATGTAAAGATAAAAAAATATTTGGTAAACAAAAAAAAGTAATACAGATATAACCATAAACTGAAACCAAGAAATATTAATAAAGTAAGATAAAACATATCCTAATTGTAGTAATGGATGTAGTTTTTGTGGAAATTTTTTGATTCATTTCATAAGTATATTTTACTTAATAATAACACCTATTTTCAGACTTGGTTTATATTCTGGTTAATCCTATACACTGCAGACATTACTACAGCTAGGATATTTATAGCATACAGTCACTCGGCAGAAGTGTTCATGATCTGAGAGAATGTTTAATTGGGGTTGTGACATATGGCAGGGCAGTGGCGGTGGGGTTGTCAACGGGTGTGCGCATGTGTGAGTTCGAGTTCACGCTCAACAACCACTGTGTCACAAATGTGGCTTGGCGAGGAAAAGGTTTTCATATGACGCATGGTTATGAGTCACAAGTATGTTATTGTTTTACACATATGACTTATTCGAGTCATATGATTTGTTATATGTAGGATTTGTGATGCTTTTACACATGGCTCAAATATGAGTCATGGGAAGTACGCCTGACAAGTATGCCTTGCAAGTGTGCCTTGTGGGTATGCCTTGCACATATGATTTATGTTTCGCACATGACCTCATTATGAGGTCATGGGTTTTATGCATATGACTCAGTTGAGTCATATGATTTGTTTATTGTATTATGATTGGTTTATGAGTTTTTGCACATCAACACGCTATGAGGTCATGGGTTTTGAGCATGTGACCACTTTGGTCACATGACTAGTTTGTTATGATTTGGTTTCGCAGATGTGACCACTTTGGGTCACATGACTTTGGGCAGGAAGAATACTATATAAGGAGGCCGATGCGGCCAAGGAGGATAGGTTCTTCACGCTTTGTTCTAAGTATTTTTACTACTTATTACTTTAACGAATATAGCACACCTTGACGATCTTTATCTTTATTGCAACATTATCGTTATGCCAAGGAAAGCTCTTCATGAAGATGAGTTAGAAAATGCTTACGATAGGCGTTCCCGGTAGAACACAGAGGTCTTGTACTATCAGAAACTTAGGCAGAGGCCTAATGCTATCGTAAGACTAAGGAAAGAAACAGAAGAAAAGCAGTATCGTTCCCCATCGCCAAGAACTAATTGTCTAAGGAGAGATCATTACATACTGGCATCTCTTAACATTCAATGGTCAATTGACCTGCCATAAATTAAACTAGCTAATATTTTGTATAATCTCCTCTTGCTTCTAAAACTGCAGCCACCCTATCAGGCATTGATTTCCACAACTTCTCAAAAAACTCCTCAGGAATTGTCTCCCAAACCAATGGTAATACATGTACAAGTCTTCTTCTAACAGCCTCTTTTCCTCCTAGAGTATCTGCAATCCTTGGATACTGCTGGTGCAATCGCTTTTGAAGCTCAACCCATACATGCTCAATAGGATTTAAATCAGGGGAATAAGGGAGATGGTTCACAACCTCAATACAATTTCTCTCCAACCAATCCATAACACTATATGCCTTGTGAACCAGAGTATTATCTTGCTAAAAAAGAACATCTTCAAGTTGTATACCAAAGGAAATAATTTGATGAATAACAGGAAAAAGATATTTTCTCAAAAGTTTAACATACCTGGTCTTATTGATAGTTTGAGTAATAGGAACTAATTGACCTTTTTTTTACCCCAAAAGTACCCCTAAACTATAAGTGAGATTCCCTTATCCTTCTCCTTTAGGTGTACACAATCTGCCAACCACTTCTCTGCAGATTCTCTGAATACCCATTGTTGCTTTGTATCCTTGAATTTCTCCATACTGCATTTATCACTCCAAATCACACTTTCAAAATCCTCAACTGTCCAGTCCCTATGAGCTGTAGCCTATCTCAATCTCTTAGCCACATGATCAGGCTTTAACCTAGGTGTTAACTTGGCTATCCATTTTTTAAAGTTTGCTTCTCTGAGTACCTGGTCCACTATGCAGGCAAATTTAGTAGGCAATTATATCCTGTCAGTCTGGGTAGCATAAAGAGTTACCAGTATCAAGAGAAACACCAGGTGCATAGTGATCCCTGAAGGCGCATCTGGTCATTTTCCGGTTGGACTTGGCTGCCTATATAATTATGCGATGCAGTTGACCACTCAAAATAAAGGTGTGACTGGTGTGAGGAAGATTTTCAAGAGATTGGTATTCACATGCCCAGACAAGAAAGCTCTTAACTGTTGTCCATTGGCGTCTAATAATTTGAGCCACCAAGGCAATGTTTTGGAGGCAGTAGAAAAAGGTGATTATCATGCCCTTCTCTGAAAGGCTCATTTATCTCCAGCTAGTTTTAGGTGAGGGTCTTTTTTTTGCGGCATACTTCATATTTCCAGAATGCTTAACTATTGGTAAAAAAGGTAGAGGAAATTAATAAATCAATTAATTAGGTAAAGGAGGCTTCAGTGGGTGTAGATATGTAAATGATCATGGTCCCAATGGGGTAAACGGTCACTATCAACTTTACACTTTGTTGAAAGATGGTATTTTGGCAAGGCAGCTTAGTCATCTGAGACCAGTTTCACAAACACTTCCGCTGAGTGACTATACATGTCTTTAATATTTCATGATAATGATCAGGAATTATAGGTATGTTTTCATTTTGATGTTCGGAATATTTCAGTTACTTATGCATATTTTATGTACTCTTCGTGGTCATCAGATTCATAATGTTTAAGTATCCCTTTCACACCACTACTTATCTACACAACTTTATATATATTTCTTTGGGAAGTCCCCTAAGGTTAAATACTGTCACACTTATATTCTTCCATTATTTTTCCTATTTTTATCTTAGTTACACAAGGTTATGTGCACTTGTATATATAGTGAGTTACTGCCCACTTTGCTTAAGAGGATTAAGATAAGAACTACTATCAATCTGCCTTTGCACTTTTACCTCCTCCTCAGCTACCATACCCATAGTATAAACTTCATACTTTATACTATTCCTCTACATAGTTATTAAGATTGTACTGTGATAAATTTTAATACGTTATGAGTCCGGTGCTTCTATGACTATCTAGAATACACTTACACACTTCACCTACCCAAGCAATTGAAACACTTCACCTGATGAAACATTCTACCTTACAAAAAAAATATCTTCTATCGAAACAAATCTTGTAACATTTTCTTGAAATATTACTAAATCGAAACAAAACATCTATTGAAACGAAATATTCTTGCTATTAAATGAAACATTTTTGAAACCTACTTTACAACAAGTTCTTGGTGAAACATTCTTGGTGTTACCCTTTTTTAAATAATGATCTAACTGCCCTATTTTCTCGATCTCCTTTTCCTTTAGACTCACTTGTGTATTCTTCACTCTTGCTACTATGAGAAAAGAATTGAACTGTAGTTCTAGCTATGGGCTATAAAGAGGAGAGTTATAACTCGCCTCTCACATTCCAGACGCGACCGTTAAAAGACCAGCACGGT